GGCACTTACATGCATACATTTGTTTACATACATATATACATATGTACATAAATATGTATATATATTTGCTAAGTACGAATGCATAAAATGCTTAGAAAATTGTATGCCGTGTACTAAGTAAGTATGATTTCAAAATGTTCGCGACATCAAAAGTGCATTTAATTATGCGACGCGTGCGCTTGAATAGGAATGAGAATTATATACACAGCTGGGAGTTGCAGAAAGTCGAAATTTTTTTCTCAACACTAATTTATTTGCATGTACTACTAAGTACGCATAAATTTTTTTTATTATTTTTTCTAAACATATTCATATCAACATAAATATATACATACTTATGTACATATGTATATGTATATGTATATGTATATTTCTAACGACCTCTATCGCATTTAGCTGCCACACTCTAACTGCTTGTACTAAGATTACTTAGCTGCCACGCTATCAGTTGTCTAGTGTAACCAACACCAATATATGGAGGTGTTGACAACTGGTTTTTTGTTGGTGATTTTTCGATTTTTTCTAACTGACCAAAATGTAGCTGATTGTATAATATTTTAAGAAACAAAAAGATATGTTGAAGAAAAATTGCCATTTTAATTACAAAAATCATACAAATGGTCAATGATCGCGCTTCGGAGAGTATCTACATAACACTTGAACGCAACATTTGATTGTTGCAAATATACATAGTTGCAGGGAAGGCGTGAAACTGTTATAAATAACAGCAAATATTAGGCGTAAACAAATGAGTGAAGAAAAAATAACAAAACAAGTGAATAAATCGAAACTCAAATTCAAATAAAAACTAATTTAGTGGCCAAACAACATTTGGCAGCTACAAGCCAGCGGCAAAGCGAGTGAAGTAGAAAAATATGTAAAATAAAAAATCTTTAAAAACTTTTAATTTATGATATAGTAAAGTTAATCAAATATAATATGCAGATGATTATGCAATAATATGTTACGATGAATGCTTCCCTTGCCGGATTAGACCGAGCTTCTTTACGGCATGATTTCTCTATCGGAAAAGGGCTGGATTTTGATGTAGTATTCAAATGACTGATGGTTTTTCTAAACCTTTTTTTTTTTGCGGCAGAAATGCTCAAATGTTTGCTATTCTCTTCTGAAATATACCGGCTGCTATGCAAAGAGGACTATGTACATATTTTTGAGGAAGCATTTCGAATTCAAGCCACACCCTTGTGATAAGCTTAGCTGAATATTTCGTTTTTATTGTTTAAGGTCTATTTAAGAAAATGAAGCTCCTAAGTCCACTTCAGCTACTTCGAAGAAATTATTGGCTCTCAAGGCATGCTGCTAAGTATATTTGGTTGTTCATAGAATAGTCAATCTGCTTAAAAACGATTTACAGCCTTAGAGTTTTCCTGTATAACTTTTTGCAAAAACACCTGGGGGAGTTAGGGGTTTCACTTACATAAGTAAGCGGTCTTAAAAGAAGAATAAAGCTGGCATACATCAATGCATTACTCAAACCTGTCTTGAATCGACGTAAGCGATTTTGATCACAGCGGTATAAACAAGGTAATAATCGAGAAACAAGTTTAGAAAGATCCCAGAGTTGTAGTAACGCGTACGGAAGGGATTAAACTTTCGGGTAAATCATTATCCTTTAAGAATAGACTTTATCAAGCTTGAAACGCTATAACTATGCAGATTCTTAATTGCAAGGGTCTCAAAATGTTACCTTGAGAAATGCCAAATGTCGCCGGGAATAGGCACTGTCAAAAGCGATCAAACAGAGTCTGTTAAAAATATATGATTTTATCCACTGAAGAAGTGGGGAGTGAAAACAAATTCGAATGAATTTAGAACCAAAACCTTGTCTAACCCTATGTCGAAAGTTTTTCAAAAGTCTGTGTAGAGGGTAATGTAGCCTCTATGGAGGCAGTTACAAGAGTTTTGTGGGTAAAAACCGCATGATCCAGTAGTGCCGACCCGCCTTTGACAAAACTGTGTTGCTAAGAACAAATCATATTATTTACAAAAAAAAAAAAATTATTTACCTTTAACGATGCATCCCAATATTTTAGATACCCTAGACCATTTTTAAAAATCGGTCTGTAATTTAGGTACGTACAACCACTTTGTAAGACATGGGTTCAATCCCTGGTTCGGTCAACATCTAAATTAGAAATAAATTGTTTTTAACAGCAGTCGCCCTCGGCAGGCTTCTCATAAAATCCATCTGCCGTTCTGAGGCGGTGAAAATCTGTAGGTCACTCCATTTGTATTATAACAACAACACAGCCAAATACTTAGCATTTTTATTAATTATAGAGGCTACTATACAATAATCAATAAACTTGAATGATCATAAGGACACGTTGAAAATTAGAGTTATCTGTACAATCCAATATGAATACCGTTTAAAATAAATCTTGGTCGGTATACTTACATTATCTCAGACCATCGCAAGCTTTCAAGTGAGGACTTACATAAACTAAACTCTAGAGCCACACTGGATCATCGCCTATATCACTGCACAGCTTTCAGAATATCGTGATTTGTCCTGACTCTTCTTTGTATGTTTGTATGTACGTGAGAACCTAATCTTCCTTTTGTCGGTTGATTATGAAAAAACGAAAGCGAAAAATATAGCACTTTAGTGCGGTGGTAAAAATTTTCGCGAATTGATATTGTATTTGCTGATTATTTTTATAATTCTCCATCAAATAATTCTTTCTAAAAAATTATGTTTTTCTCTACCATCTGTCTGGGTCGAACGAAGGACTTGTTTTTTCTTCTCAACAGTCTAAGCGATTTCAGGTCCCACTATTTAATTTAAGCATTCAATTTAACAAACAAGAACATTATAGATTTGCATGTATGTACCCTGCAGTGAAACCCCAAACTAGTCAGGAAAAATACTAGTTTACAACTAGAATTTCCTGACTGAAACCGAACTAGTTCGAAAACTACCAGACTTGTACCAAGTACAAACTATTTATTCATGCCCTGTTTTGACTTCGACAGTTTAATACCATAAAGTATACAAAATATTATAACTTTTATTTGGGTATATTGTAAACCATTAAAGGGAGTACGTATTCAATTATACAATACCTGTTAATGATTAATATTCATAATGATTATTAATTAAAGCATGTTTTTTTGGATAACCGTTTAATGAGTATTAATTAATTACGTAAAAAACGTTAATTAATTCATTAATTTTAATTACATCATTATTTTGTTATTTTTGATCATTTTCAATTACTTTTGCCTTGTTTTAATTACACGATTATAATTATTCGATGAATTTCTATTATTTATCATCAAGAAAAACTATTGAAAAAAGCTATGAATATTTAATAACTGCTTGAATTATTTATTTGTTTCATTCTTATACAAATCTCAAATTTTAAACATTAATTGTTACTTTTGTAAAATTTGAAAAAGAAAAGACTGGAATGTGCAAAGTTAATGAGTTTAATTTATTTTAATGAAAACTTTTATTTTTATTTTAGTTCACTCAAAAATGGAGTAAAGTCTTCATTTTATTTTTAACTAAAATGTTTTCTTTTGCATATTCAATATTATTAAAAAAGATAAAAATATAGTATTTATTGTACCTGAAACCTTTTACTTTTATTAACCCTTAATGAAAAATTTATAATATATTAAAGTGTACTTAATCAAAAGTGTTTTATTGTATATTCGTGAATTACTTTTATTTTTTGACTCCCAAAGTAGTCGTTTTGGTCCTAATTGGACTAGTATTTTTCTGTCTGTTTTGAACTAGTATGAGACTGGTATATTTCTGACCGAAATCTGACAATTGCCATCTCGTAGGACATCCCCATGTTAAAAATACCAGTTGATTGCATGGAAAAAAGATAGATGGCTGACTAGTTGGGCATGCGGCTCATACTAGTTGTGAGGTAGTTTACAACTAGTACGTTTGACTACAGGGTAGTTGTACCCACGCTCAGTTATGAGGTTTTCTTACAGGACAATGTTTTAAAAAACAATAATAAGTAATGGTTGGTTTGTTGCAGTGCCTCCCAAGTAATACTCAGGTATCGCTTACAATTTTATTTTAACGTAGCCTATCTCTCATGAATTTGTGCAGTTCAAACAAACCACTTTGACACGCTTATAAATTTGTGCATATGGCTTATTGTAGCACTAGATAAATCCCCTAACTGCATAGCTGTGTATTTCTCGAAAGCTTTATGTCTTAAGGAAACCAGCTTTAGGCAACAGTAAGTAATAGATTTAAAAAGTTTTAACCCTCTACTGCTTACGAAACCAAATATGGTGCCCCTACTTTTTTCTCACCAAACGAGTGTTATAAATACGTATCATAGTGATTAAATGCACTGACAAGGTAACCAGGAATAACGGAACGCAACGGTTTGCCTGTGGTTAACTAGAAGACATTTGAATATAACCTCACTTTTATGTGGGTGTTTGCAAAACGTTTATTCTTGTGCTTAACTGCAAAAGAGGAAAACTTATGAAACCCAAAGCTGCCCTTGTAAAATAAAAAAATATTTTCATAATTCACACATCCTCTTCTGTGTCAATAAATAATTAGTTTACCGCTACCCAACTGTTTTCTATTGTTTTCCTAAAATTTTCCATACATTTCTTTGCGAAATTAAATTTAAAAGAAATGACTTGGAGTCATGTTTTCTTTCGATAAGCGTTGATTGATACGTAAATAAGGTGTTTTTCACAATTAAATTTTTTTGATTGATCTCCGTCATAGTTCATGCAATAGAGGGTTAAAAATATATCATATTGTCCACGTATACCTGCTTTAATAGTTACATGCTAAACAACTAACAGTCAAAACACTTATTATTATAAATCAAAAACTACGAAAAACGATGTTTTTAAAATAATTATAAAATAAATTTGATTTTTTTAATAAAAAATCTTAAAAAATTAAATAAAAAAATCATCTATTTAGTTGAAAAGCTCTAATTTAAATATTTCCAACTAAGTACACGTGCTTATTTTGATTACAGTTATTTTCAGTGTTTTTGCTATATCTAACAAAGTGATGCCAATTCTACTCGCAAATAATAGGCAAAAAATTACAACACAGACACATATATAGAATTGTGAGTTATTGTGAAAAGTATTGTGAGAAGAAAAAGAAGAAGCACGAGCTAAAAATAGAAATAAAATCGAAAAGAAAAACAAAACCAAACAAAGCAAATAAAAAGTCAACGTGTAAAAAAATTTGAAGAGCAGCATTAACTGCGCTCACAGCATCCGAACTAGCGAACTGTACAGCAATATGCCGGCCTTAAAGGCCAAGCAGCAACAAAAACAAACACATCAACAGCAATATGAGCTATCGCTACAACAACTGCAACAAACAAAACAGCTGCTGCTGCTAGAAGAGCAAAAATACGCGCAAACCAAGCAAAACCAAGAAGTTAAGAACTGGTTCTTACCATCGAAAGCCACTACAATAACAGCACTGGTCACTACTAAACCAAAAACAACCATAATTACCGCGATGATCAGTAGTGGCAAAAAAATGAGCATTAACGGTGGCAGCATCACCAGCAACAGCGGCAGCGTCAGTGGTGTTCGCCGTTGTTGTCGCAGCAAACGCTCATCATCGCTACTCACCATTGCGCTGCTGTTGCTTGTCTCTGTATTCGCTGTCGTCTCGGCAGCCGGCAGCAATGGTAACGGCGGTGGCGCATCTGTGCGTACCGGCGCCACTAATTCACGTCTGCCCCGCACGAGTGCAAGTCAGCTCAATAGCGGCAGCAATGGCGGTCTAGGAGGCGGTGGAGTTGGCGGTGGCGGCAGCAGCAACAGCTTCAAGTTGGCCGCAAAAACGCTAAACAACACACGCAACGGAAATTTGCGAACAAGGTGAGTGACGTTTTGGAAAATATATATGTATGTTTTTTTCTCTTTTTCCCACTTTTTGTGATGCGCAGAGCAGATGCACATACAGAGTGAGGTGTTGCAGGAAAATGTAAGTAAACAGATAAATGGGGGAAAAAACTAAAATTGCATAGGCTTGCAAAAGAAACAGCGGAAAAGCTGAAGCAATAAATAGAATGGCCAGTGATTTTGAAAAACTAGCCGTTAAACGAGATGTACATATGTATGTGCGATACAAAGTCGCTGCAAGCAGCGTTGTTGATGTGTAAGTGTGCTGCAATAGTAGGCGCTATCATTTCGGTCTTTTATTTTTTTTTCGTTTTTTTTGCGTATATTGATATATACTGCTGACTTGTCAATATTTTACCTACACACACACATGCATGCATACGTAGCTACAGTAGAAGTAAATGACCATCGTCGGCGCAGTTTCCAAGCAATTGAGAAGTTAAACGAAAGACTCAAGTAGCGAACTTGTTTGTTGTCAAACCGAACTCTACAAACAGCAGCAATTTACATATTTGATTCTTGTATATTTTTCATAAAAAATTCAACCGAAAACTATCGAATTTAATTTAAAAAACACAACAAAAACAAGGGCAAGTGCAGCAAAAGCAAGTTGATTGTAATTTGAACGCGATTTTTAATTGCTTAATTTTTTGCTTGATTTTCGTTGCTGTTATTGCCACTAAAAGTGAATGGCCAATGTGCTGAACCAACAAAATGACTTTTCAGCGCTAAGTGTTATCGATTTTTCAGCTATGTATTTAAGTCATTTTGCTGATATTTTTATGCATATTCTAGTTGGGTGATTAAGCAACATACTTATTAATTAATAAGCGTGTGCATGCAAATTAGATTTTATTTCGGCCATTGTGACAACCCACAATAACTTAAAAAAAAAAACTGATGAAAAAAATTAAGCGCAACTAGTTAGGCAAAGCAAGTTTTGAGTTTTCGGGTTTTGTTAATTTATTTGGGGGAATAATGCGCATAGAAACCAAGTCCTTCTCTGTGCAGACATGCAAATATTTTCTGGTTTGACTACGTAATATGTGGAAGGAGTAGCTTTTTATTTCGCATAATTTTTTAAATTCTTCGCCAATTATGAGTTGGATAAAACCTTACCTGATAATATTTCTTGAACTCAAACGAAGTTTTGTTGTTATCTCGGTTTAAGTTACGCTGGCTTTAGTCAAAACAAACGTTTGGTTAATGCTCAGCGCACAGTCAGTTCAAGTACCGTATCTGTCGTGTTCAATATATGTACATAACGTGATCTAAACTGTTGCACTGTGGTTTGAAACTGAAATTTACTGTTCATAATCCTTCTAAGCCTTAATTTTTCAACTAAATCGATATTTTTTTTTAATCCAATTCTATATAATTTTTAAGTTTATATTATATTTTTTACTGTAAAGTGCAGAGAAAGTAACAATTTTCAAGAAAATCGATTCACCTGTTCCAGTTAATAAATTCTGAAAAATGAAACTAGATGAAAACAATTATAGGGTTCCCCCAAAACGAGAAAAAATAGGAATACAAGAAAAATTTTAAATGTTATAAACAAAGTTTTCACTAAAATAATTTTTTTTTTTAATTTGTAGAAAAAATTTGGGTATTAAGTATTATTGCTCATTCAATTTTACTACAATAAAGTGCAAGTTTCATGTGGTTAAGAGCTCTCGTTGATTTAAAAAAAAAATTGTTAAGCCTGCATTCTTTATGAGTGAAAATTTCTCAAGTACGCCACCCAAAATTGGATGGTCAAGATTTTTTCGCACAAATCACTTTATTCGGTTTACAACCATAAGACAATATATAATTAGAGCAAGTTTGCAAACTTTGAATTTTTAAAAGAGGTATTGTTATTAACTTTTTTTTTGATGAATTCAGTAATTATTATTTTTTCCAGCCAAAGTTGTGGATCAACCTCTATTCTCCGTTAACGAAAATTTTCCCATATCTACATATACATATCCACAAATACATTTTTTAGCAAGAATTATATTTCGTTCAGGTATACAGCAGAGCTGCTACAAGTAGCAAACTATTTTGGGCGTGTTAAAAAGTGTTTGGTTGTTTTTTGTTTCTGCGATTGTACTATTGTATATTTATTTATTTTTCTCTGTAAAGAGAAAATACATGCATATTTACATACATACGTACATACATAAATATGCATGTTATTTATGTACATATTTATGTATTCAACTTTAAAAAGGACTGTACTAAATAATCTATGCCTATGTTTATAAATAAATTTTATTTCTTTTTGCGCTCTCTGGTTGCACCACGCGTGTCCGCGCGGCACCCGGAATGAAGGCAAAAGCACCCGTGGCAGAAGAGAAACAAATTAATAACTAGCGACTCCGTGCAAGTTTCTGTGTTTTCTTATTTCTTTTAAATAATGTACTATAGAAGAAGGATTGATGTTCAGTATAAACGAGTAAAAAATCTGATCGAGAAGTATAAATATTTCCATTTGTTTATAAAAAATTTAAAAAAATAAATAAAAATTTTATACAAAATAATGATTATTTGAATTATGAAATTACTGAACTCATAAAAAAACTTAATAACAATAACTCTTGTAAAACTTAAAATTTTACAAAATCGCTCAAATTATATTCTTTTATGCTTGTAAACCGAATAAAGTGATTTGTGCGAAAAAATCTTGACCATCCAATTTTGGGTGGCCCACTTGAGAGATTTTCACTCTATAAAAAAATGTTATTAAAAATCAATGCCAGTTCTTAGCCAATTGAAACTTGGACTTTATTGCATTAACAGTTAATGAGATATAGTATAAAATTTTTCTAAAAATTTATTTTTAGTGAATTTTTTGTATAACATTTCTAATTTTTATAATTTTTATTTAATTTTGGTGAACAGTTTTTTATAACATTTACAATTTTTCTAGTGTCTTTTTTCCCTTTTTGGGGAATCCTGTAACTGTTCCCAGCCAGTTATTATTACGTAACATTTATTAAGTGGTACAGGGGAATCCATTTTCTTCCAAACTGCTACTTTCTCTGCACTCTACACTAAAAAACTTATAATATAAATTAAAAAAATCCGGCTCAATAGGTTTCTTAAGCTATATAAGCTTTCATTCAAAATAACATGAATTAAGTTGGTGGAAAAAGAAGGCTCTGGAGGATTGGGGAGAGTAAATTCTAGTTTCAAACTACTGTGTGTTGGAAGCCAAAAAGTTCAGGTACTCGTTTTCCAATACAATGCAAACCAAATCCTTATAGCTCATGCTTTCCAATGCAGTGCAGAATCTTAAAAAGTGTTACACAGTCTCATACTATTCTAAGCAGGAAAGGCAGATGGGATTGATATACATGCGCACACAATCATATCTTTATACCATGAGAAGAGACCAGAAAACAATCCGAATACATTTCCGCCTGCCCAATAAGAGCAGATACCTCAAAATGTATCTCCTCGATGATTCCTATTCATTACATCCTACATTATAATATGCATCCTTTCTATGGAAATGATCAGGCGCCTTATTAACTAATAGGTAATATGAACAGAGACTTGGCTTTCAGAGTAAAGCAAATTTTGTATTGTACTGTATATAAAGTAAAATCCCTCCTTTTTAAGAAGATAGGCATTATCTCTTTGAAGAAGTCTCACAAATTTGGCTTAAGCTTTCTGCACAAATATCTTTATGAAGCCCAGTGGCTACACAGTTTACTTTGGAGTATGTACGAGTATCTTGGCACTTCGAGATGCTTTTCGATGGATATGCTGTCGAAAATGGGTATTTACAGCATTTTTTAATAAGAATTTGAAGAGGAATGTAAGTCAAGCTGTTTTAGAATGAAATTGCTGGGTTTGAATGTGAAGCTATTAAGACTTTCCTTTCATTGGTTTACTCACTAAGGGCCGTTTTTTCAAGCACATTTTAAAATTTATCTGCCCTTCAATCACATTTTCCAGAACAAAATTAACGTTTAAAGCGCACATAAATTTTAAAAAGATCAAGGGGAACAACGGTCCAATACGGTAGATCCCAATTTTCAAGATTTCGGGGCAAATCGGTGTCCGAGAGTGACTATTCGAAATCAGTTGGAAAGTCACTGGTTACAAAGCAACCTTAAACAAGTAGGCATATGCTTTTCTATTTAGAAACTAGGCATTATATGTGGCTAGTTAAAAAATAAACATAAATTCTTTGCCATAAAAACTGGACATAAATTTTGTGGCATTAAAAAACTAAACATAATGGCAAAAATGGTGCACCTTTGAAAAGTGGACATAAAGTGTGAACGATAAAAAGTAGCCAACGACGCTAGGAGGAGGTTATATAGAACAGCAAAGTAAAATCGCGGCTTTTTTGTCCACTTTTCACCATTTAATGGTCGTTGTCCACTTCTTACTGACCATGTTTTTATTCGTCTCTCAAAGTCAGTCAGTAGAAGGCACCTGCCTTCGTCAATTTTAATTATACTTTTGAGCATGCATGGCGTAAAAATGCCCTAGAATTTAATTAAAAACCTTAGAAACTATTCCAAATTTTAGGCAGAGCTATAAGCAATTCAAGTGCCATATTTTATCTAAATCCATGCAGCCGTTTCCGAGTGGAGGAAGGCCTCGCATAGTGTCGGTTTTTAATATCATCCCATTTAAAATCCCCCTGTACCGATAAAAAAAAGTTCTTACTTCAAAAATCAAAATCTTATCGCACATCGACTGGCCAAGTCCTTTACTTCGACCTCTCATATTTGAACGAACGGTGCAAATGTAATGACCTTGGCATTCATATTTTAATATTTTGTGTTAACAAAATACGAATTTTAATACAGGTAGAAATCTTTTTCGAAAGTATTTGCAAACTAAAATCTTCTTACATCGCTTTCGTCTAATATTGTTATAAATATTTCAATTAAACTATTAATTAAGTTGAATTCGATTTTTCAAACCCATGGCAACCTGCTAGCTATTGATCTAAATTAATTCATGTAAAT